GTTTATTGGGTGAAATGTTACTAATGAAGAATTCAAAGTATGATTCTGAATTGGATAACCCTGTTTGGAGGGGAGGGGGAATCGGTGTTCAATATTGATAAAGATATCCCTTTGCTTAGGATTTGCTTTGCTTCCTTTTCTGATATGCTTTTCAAGGGTCTCTTTAAAAAAGTTCTGGTGGAACACATACATTTTCCCTAAGAATCTCTTTTAGGTCTCCTATGGTCAGTGGGTAGGGCTGGGGCTTGAAAGCACAGAGAGATGATAATATGTGAGCATCAATTAATTACTAGTTGTTTTAAGAGACATTCACTTGTCTCCAGTGCTTCCAACCCCACCTTCTGAGTGAATTTCTACCTCATGGTTACTGTTGTCTGGTATATTGGCCCTTGACGCAAGCCACGATACGCTCGGTGACCTGCTATTCGAGTGAAAGTTGGACCTTTAAGAAGGAACCCTGAAGAAGAATGGATGTGTTTGAATTATGATGCTGACGAAGACGATTAAAAGCACCTTGGACTGTCGAAAGAGCAAGCAGATCTGTCGTGAAAGAAGTCCGGCCAGCATCCCCCTTAAAGGCCAGGATGGCCAGACTTCATCTCGCGTCCTTTGGCCATGTGGTTAGGAGAGGTCAGTCCCTGGACAAGGGCATCGTGCGGGGTAAAGTAGAGGGGCAGCGAAAAAGAGGAAGTCCTCAACAAGACAGATTAACCCAGTGCTTCGGCACAATATACATGCCTATAAAACACGACTCTTCAAAAGTACAGACCTGTTTTTAAATGGATGGATTTTCACCCAGAAACTTACATATTCACTATTAGGACATGGGAGAAAAGGATATAATGAGAGAAGGTTCTGGAAGAGAAGCCATACATAAGAGCAAACTAGGTCTAAGATCATTTTCATGCTCGAGAAGGAAAAGCCCTCTCTCGAGAAACCAAAAATAACACTCACTGCCATTGAGTTGATGCTGATTTCAAACAACCCTCTAGGTCAGGGTAGAACTGCCCTGGGAGTTTTTGAGACCGTAACTCTTTGCTGTCATAGAAAGCCCCCTCTTTTTCCCACCTTATCCCCAAGTAAAGATAAGAACAAAAAACATAAAGGATAGCCCATCGCCAATAAAATCAAACCCAGGTAAGATTCCCAACTCTGTAGAATAACGGCCACCCTTCGGTTGTCCTTTGCTTTAGGCAGCTTTCTGACCCCTGGTTGGAGACTCAAACTCATCAATTACCCTTAGGAGCTGACTAAAGTAATGTTTAACAATTAATATGAGGAAATTGACAATAGTGACAGTCTTGGAGAAATAGTGTATCTGCTTATTATTGTATTTAATGTCAATAAGTTCTAAAGTACTTTTGCAAAGATGGTGGTGAATCACTCCCTAATAATTAGTTTTTAAATTTAATAAATCATTTCATTGGAGGCTCATACAGCTCTTATAACAATCCATACATCAATTGTATCAAGCACATTTGTACATATGTTGTCATCATCATTTCCCAAACATTTTCTTTCTACTTGAGCCTTGGTATCAGCTCCTCTTTTTTCCTCTCCCTCCTCTCCCCTCCCACCTTGGTGAAGCCTTGATAATTCATAAATTATTTTTATTTTCATATTTTTATACTGTCTGCTGTCTCCCTTCACCCACGTTTCTGTTGCTTGTCGCCCTGGAGGTGGGGTGCACATTGATCTTTGCGATCAGTTCCCTCTTTCTCCCCCTTCTCTCACCCCTCCCCCTACCCTCATGGTATCACTACTCTTATGATTGGTCCTGAGGGGCTTCCCTGATACTATTTAGTAATATCTATTTTCTTTAAAGCGTTTTGTGAAATTGTCTTTTTATTGTTTGCTCTTACTCTATTTTTATGAATAGTTACAAGTTCATATGCCAAAAAGAAGAAAGATTCAAACTACAAATTCTATTATCTTAAGGAAAAACATTATATCATCTTCTTAGTAAAAAGTTTCATTCATGTTTCATTTCTGAAACTCAGATCAGCTAAGAAATGAGTTGTGCAATAATATCCGGACACCCCAGAAAACACTTTTATTTCCTGACGTATCAGCTATGACAACATTGGTAGTAGACTTGCAGAAGAGGACAAGCCTGTTACTTTGGTTGTGTCTTGGAAAGAATAACTGCTGGATATTTCTGTTCAAATCCGTCTCTGGGTAGCACAAATGGTTAAAGCATTTGAATATTAACCCAGAGGTCAGTGATCAGACCCACAAGGATCTTGGCAAAAGACTAAAAGTTCACAACTACTGCAAACCTGATGGAGCTTTTGCCCGGGGACATCCAGGTCAATGTTATGCTAACATACTTCTCAAAGACAAATAGTATATATTCTAATTTGAAGAGTAGCTATAGCCATCTATAGGGCAGCTATTGGTATCTTCCCATTCGGAGGAAAGAGGAGTGATGGAAATCAAAAGACATATGGAAACAATTAGTCCAGTGGACTGATAGAACACACAAACATCAATCTCCACAACCCTGAGGCAAGAAGCAACTGCTCTGAAAATGATGACTTTGGAAGATTCTGGGTAGAATGGGAGAAAAATTCAGAAGAGAACTCAAAATCACACAAGAGACCAGGCTTACTGGTCCAATAAAGTTTTATTAGACCTCTAAGTCTATTGGCCGTATCTGTCAGATCTGGAACTGAATGCACCTCCACATTAAAATAATCCAGCTTTTAAGTTCAAATGACCAGAGTTAGGAAAGAAGGAGGAGGTAAGATAGGAAACCAGAAGGAAGCAAGATTATGTGAGCGGATTGCAATAGATGAGTAAAATCAGAATGTGTATGAATTGTTGAATTTTTTTTTTTTTAGAAAGCAAATGTTTTGAAAATGATGATGGCAACATATGTACAAATGTGCTGGACCCAATGGATGGATGTATGGATTGTGATAAAGAGTTGTCTGAGCCCCAAATCAAATGATTAAATTAAAAAAAAAGAATTGTTGAATATTAAACTGATCCGTTCCATAAATTTTTACCTAATCCACACAAAAGTTTATAAACACAACCCTAAAGGGCATCATTCTACTCCAAAACACGTGTAGTTGCCTGAGGCAGAATCGGTCCATCAGCAACTGGCTGGGTTTATTTGTTTATGTGTGAACCCAAGTTCAACCTCACTGCCAGGGAGTAGACTCCGCCTTCCCGTGATCCTATAGGGCAGGGCAGAACTGCCCTGTGGGTTTCTGACAACTAAGTGGGTTCCTCACACTATTTCTTAAAGAAATAGGAAGCCTTATCTTTCTCCCATGAGCAGCTGATAGGTACCAACTGGTACCGCACTTGCTGTGAGCCAGGATCTTGAAAATGCACTTTCTGAGTAAAGTACCACATATTCTCCTGTGTAAGCTGAGCTTTTCAACACATTTTTAATGCCGTTTTTGTGGTAAAAGTAGGCGCCTTAGCAGATATGCAGGTCGGCTTATACTCGGGTATAGACGGTATTTTAGAGAGAGGCCTTCACTGAGTTTCCTGCTACACCTATCTCAGTGGCTAACTTCTCTCTCATTCATAGGTGAAGATGCTATAGAACTTCTCCCCCGCCCCCCTCCCACATACTGTCTTTTTCATTTGAAAATGCGCATATACACATGAAATAGAGTAGACTGACCATTAACATAGATAATATCCAGATAATGTAGTGCCTGTGGGCTTATTTAAGGAGCCGTGAGTCAGAATTGACTCATGGCAGTGAGTTTAGTTTGGGCATGGACTCTTGGGCAGTGGGTGTTTTGGGTTTTTGTGGCACTGTGATTAGGCATTGGGCCACTCCCTGCAAGGTCAGCAGTTCAACTCCACCAGCCACTCCTTGGAAGAACCATCAAGTTGTCTATTTCAGTAAAGATTAAGGTCTGCAGAAACCCTGTGTCGCGGGCTTCTCTGAATCGGAATCGACTGGACGGCATTGGGTTGGGTTTGGGGTTGGACCGATTTATTGATGCTGTTTTCATAAACTCATCCTTGATTGATCGAGATGGCAGTTTCATATGATTGCCTCACCAGGTACTGTAGAAAGAATCTCAGATTTGGAGTCAGGGTATATAATCCTTAGATTCATATCTCCACACAGACATTTCTGATCTTACACACGTACTTAGATTTCCCTAAATTTCAATCTCCTGATCTATAATGTGATGCTAATAACTGATCTTACATATTGCTGCAGAATTAAGAGATGCTTTCAAAAGACAATTTGTAAACTGATAAGAGCTATACAAATGTTAGTTTCTATCATTATCATGTTAATGAAATTCCTTTAGTCCTGATTTCCAGATGTGCTCATGGTACATAAGTAAAGCAATAATTATTTGACTCAGCAATACTCTTATCTTTCTTCATTCTTCTTTACTTTGGCTTATTTTTTTTTTTAATCGGGTTGATCAGATTTGGTAAGCAGTGATACACATTGACTGCCAAGAATTTCAGGGAGGTTTTTTTATTATGACTTCTCTCAATCACGAGCAAGTCAGTATGGTCTCTGCCGCAAACACCTAGAGGAAATAAGGCATCTGAACGACGCAAGGATCTCTTCCAGGTGTTCTCCTCCTTCACTCTATCCCCTGTCACCTGATTCTTCCTTCTGAATTTCTTAGGCCAGGGTACTGGCCTCTGGAGCCCTGGTGGTAGTTACATGTTGGGCTTTGATTCACATGGTTGGCAGTTTGAAACCACTAGCAGCTCAGGAGAAAGTCTGGGTTTTCTACTCTTGTCAACATTTAGTCTCCGAAACCCACTGGAGGTCACTATGAGTCAGCATTGGCTGGATGGCCGTGAGTGAGGGTCACTGTCCTAACATTGTGCACTAGCGGTGATTTGGGGTAAGCAGCCGAAGAAAAATGAAATCCAATGACCCAGAATGTCCTTAGAGTAGTGCTGTGGTGGCTGTCACAGTATTTTAGATCTGTGTTGGATGAAATGGCCTTCATCTCTCTCTCTCTCTCTCTCTTTTTTCCCCTCCATCTTTCCAGGAAACTTAGATTTAACTGGTCAGAAGCAAGTATTCAAAGCCGAGAACAACCCCTGGGTCACTCCAATCGCCGACCAGTTCCAGCTGGGCGTGTCGCATGTCTTTGAGTACATCCGTTCTGAGACATACAAGTAGTAAGTCCCTGTGCTTTTTCTGGTTTCACCGTATTTGTATAATTGTACAATTTTAAAAATGTATCGTATGATGGTGTCGTATGAATGTCAGTTAACTCATAGTCTTTTAAAGTGTTTTATTAAAAATGCACGTGGTAATTATCCTTCATTTACATTATAAAATGAAATGTACCAATTGTGTTTAGAACATTTTAAAAATGTTAAATTAGTTGAATATTTGTGGCACTTCAGGAAATTCAATAGACATATTAAGATCAGAACATAATTTTTTTTCCTCTTTGAATTCAAAGAAATACAAATGTTACCCACAAAGGTAGACGCCTTAACTAAGCAGTTTATTTGTAAAATCAGTAGAGAATCCTCGGATAGCAACATATCCTATTCTCTGGACCTTTCACTGTAATGAGGAGGATAATATCAAGAGAAAAAGGAAAGACGGGTAAAGAGAAAGAGGAGTCAGTTAAAGTCGCCCCATCAAAAACCCCAAGTCCTCAGTTCAGGAAACTGGGGGCAACCATCCCTGGTGAGTGGATCCCAGCTCATATGACCCCATGTATACAGCACAGACTGTCCCTAGTGTAAAGGCCTCTCACCTCAGCGCCAGGCCTGACTTCCAAGGCATCTCTGGGTGGGTTTGAACCCCAAATTCTTGGGTTCAGAGACCAGCACTCACCCATTTGTGCCACTCAGGGAACCCAAACCATCCCTCTCAAACCAAACTCACCGCCACTGAGTCGATTCTGACTCATAGTGACCCTATAGAACAGGACAGAATTGCCCTTGTGGGTTTCCCAAACTGTACCTCTTTATGGGAGTAGAAAGTCTCCTCCTCCCATGGAGAAGACTGTTGGTTTCGAACTGCTGGCCTAGTGGTTAGCAGCCCAAATAGAACCGCTGCGCCACCAGGGCTAAAACTACTCCCCAAATCTTAGGTATGCTTCCTTCTTTCATTTGCAGGTCAGGCGTTAAAGAAATTCTAGCTCCCCCTGCCTGCCTCTTAAGAATTGACAAAACCTTAGAACACATTGCACATGAAAGCTCCCCTAGTCCTAGATTCCTTTCTAATTACTAAATTGTGGGCTGATGGATATTTTTTTTCATCACTGTAAATCATTATTAGGCAAGACATTGCCATTTTAAGGAGCTCAGGTGGCGCTACCGGGTAAGCCTTCGACTGCCACTTGCCAAGTTGTTCAAACCCACTGGATGAGACTGTCCACTCCCCTGAAGATTTACAGCCATGGAAACTAGGGCTACTATAACTGGGGATCAACTCAGTGGCAGTGGGATCGGACATATGACAATCATCATATGTCATTAAAACTGTTTTATAATCATTTGAATTTGGGTAAGATTCTGTATGTATGTGGTTTGTGGCTTTGGCTGAGTTAACTGTAGCCTATTTGAAAGGGAATATGAGGCAAATTTTATTCGGTAATGTATTTATTTCATTATGTTCTCATCTCAGCTATTCGCAGCCTGTTGTTGTTGTTGTTGTTGTTGTTTTGAGATTTGGAGTCATCTTATCAATTTGCCTGTTAGCTCGTCTTTTTGTGTTAATACAATTCTCCGAGGAAGAATTGTATTACCTCTTCTTCAGTTCGGTCAGCACCAAATGGGAGCGTTAGCAGAGTCATTGCCCTCTGTCTATGGGGCCAGCCGGTGCCTGCTGGCTGCTTCAGTCCAGCCTGGGGAGCCTCTGCGGGGAGAACATGCTTGACTGAGCTCCTCGGAAGGGAAGGGTATTGGCTGCATTCTTTATTTCTGCCCTCTCTTTCCCTCCGTGCAATCAGAAGCCCGGCGCTGTCAAGTAGATTCCAGCTCACCGTGACCCCGTAGGACAGAGGAGAACTGACCCTTATGTTTCCGTGGGCTATACATCTTGATGGAAACACATTGCCCCATCTTTCTCCCTTGGAGACACTAATTCACTGCCATCGAGTCAAAGCTGAATTATAGCAACCCCCTTGTGGGTTTCCCAGACTGTAATTGTTTACTGGAGGATAAAGTCCCGTCTTTCTGCCCCAGGAGCAGATCACAGCCCAACTCGGGTTCAAATTACTAACCTTTTGCATACCAGCCCAATAGCTATGAAACAGACTGGCAAGAAACATGGAAAATGAGCCTTAGTGGAATTATGGTTACACATTGGGCCGCTAACTGCAAGGCCAGCAGTTCAAAACCACCAGCTGCTCCATGGGAGAAAAACACAGCTTTCTACTCCCATAAAGAGGTACAGTCTCAGAAACCCACAGGGGCAGTTCTACCCTGTCCTTTGGGGTCACTATGAATTGGCATCCACTCAATGGCAGTGAGTTTGTATGAATAAATACATATTTGTGTGTCCTCACATAACTAGTGGCCAACTTACATAGTAAAATGTTTTTTTAGCAACCACTTCATAAGTAGAGGACTTTTAGTGCCCTTCCCAAGTGTCTCACAGAAACACTGCTCTAATTAGCAAATAGTTGGCCAATTTTTAAAGCTGCAAATGTGGTGGCCTCCAGAGGATGCAATGTAGTCATCAGCCTTATAGTTTAAAGTTTCCTTTGGAAATGTTTCCTATGTGGAAACCTGTAGTTCCTGATTCCCACTGACTTGCTAAATTTTATTTAAGGCAGCTACACCTTTTTCTATTGAAAAATAAATCCCACTGTAAAAAAAACAAAAGAAAACATCTTTAGACTACCATGAGTGTACAGGTAAAATGGTTTGAGCACTGAGCATGCCAGTAAATCTACCTCGTTTCCGCTCACCAAACACACGGCACGTTACCTCCGTGAGCCTCGTGGAGAACTTAAGGGAGTGGTCATGACCGCTCACGACGGTGGTCACCTGTCTAGGTGACCTTCAC